TGGCATCTCCTCAGTCCTCCTTTTCATTTCTTCGGGGAAATTACAATTGCACAGCCATGCGTGTTGGCATAAAGATATGGCATTGACGAGGGCCCTCGAATCGGTGTCTACATGGTGACATGCAGTAGACAACTGTTGTACCGCCACCTGCATCGCTTCTTTGATGAGGACTCTGGTGAGGTCTGCTTGGTGGTCTGGGAGGGAGGAAGCAACGTTATCCAGTTTTTGCATAAGAAAATACTGGTAACGTGCCAGTGTTGCTTCGTAGTTTGATATGCATATGCTGAGCCCAGAGGCTGCATAGACTCGGCGCGTGAGCATATTGATCTTCCTCCCCTCCTTATCACGAGGGGCGGTATGACCCCTGGGCTCCCTGCCCTGGAAGGATTCAACCACAACAGTTCGGTTTCGGGTGGCGAAGTAAGAAAGGGATGTCGTCCTCTCGAACTCTGTACATGGCCTCATACCGGCGGGATGTGGCTTGTGGTTGAGCCGGTTGATCCCATGGCTGAGCCATAGCCTGGCGTAGTGTAGTGATTAGCGGCAGGGCTATGGCTACAGACTGCTCCCCTCTCACGACGTCGTAGAACCGATTTGTGGATGGGCTTCGATTTCGAGGGCCCAGACGAGGCGGGACATGAGTTCCGAGAAGGAAACGTGTGGTTCATCGGGTGAAGCAGGCCCTTGGGAGGAGATCACCACATAGGGGGATGTAGAGTCGACCACCGACTCATCCGAGTCTTCCCCGTAATGATGACGGTCACTAGAGGACGAAGTTTCAGGCGAGGTCCGACGCCCTCTCTCCATGCGCCTGGATGTGGATGGTACGTCTCCCGGGACCAATGGTGATCTACGATCCCAAGGATAATAAGGATAGGGTTGGTAGCCACCCCAGCCGGGATAGGCACCATATCTGGGCATTAACCAGTCCTCATCCCTATGTTCAGATGAACGGCTGCGTCGCCGAGGAGGCGAGGGAGAGTCTGCAGGTGGCTCAGTTGTTGGCATTGAGGTCGGAGAACGTTCCCTTGGTGGGGAGTCTCTAATTTCGCCATCAGAGATGGACTCCCGAAGCGGCTCCTCTGGTTGTTGAGGTGGCACGCTCTCAGGCCAGATAGTTGGCCTGGGGGATCCCGGCAGAGTCACCTACATGGCCGATTGCAGTGCTGGTCCCAAGCGGGTCAGTACCGAGGTGGCAGTCGGTACTGAGAAGCCCGATGAACCTGAGCCCCGGTGTTTGGGGTGGTCAGGTTTCTTGCTCTTGCGAGCAGGCTTGTCCACCTTCTCCTTCCTGGGTTTTTTATGGGTGGAAGGTTTATCCAATCCAGTGTGTTTGCGCTTCTCCCGCTTCTTAGCTGGGGAGGAAGGCAGCAACTGGGCCTCCACAGAAGTGGCGCCTTCGTCTGAAGGACGCTGAGGAGGAACGGCAAATGACGAAGCGGGGCGCTTCGGTGGGGCACTCACAGTAGAGGTGGAGCACTGAGAAGGCGCGGCCGAAGAGGAACCAGGCCGTAACAGCAGTTGGTCCGACTGCATTAGGGCCTGGTCCCAGAGGAGTTTTCGGAGACGGTTCTCCCGATTCTTCCTTGCTTGTTTGGTAAAGACCAAGCAGTGGCAGCACTTGTCAGTTCTATGCCCTTCACCAAGGCAGAGGAGGCATAGATCATGCGGATCTGCAGGCGACTTTTTGGATCCGCATTCAATACATTTGCGGAATGCCGCTCGCAGCACCATTGCGAAAAGGAAAAAAGAAGACAGTATAGAGGGTAAGATAATATTTTTGGTTTTTTGGTTTTTTTTTATAGAAAACGAAGAATGGAAGAAAAAACAGGGAAGAGATACAAACTTGGAGTATAAGGTAGGAAGAGGTAAAGTGTAAAAACGGACAGCAAACACAAAGCACAAAGATCTTAGCAAGGGACGTTAACAGGCACGAGGCACAGCGAACAGCGGTCGCAAAGACTGAGTAAAATGGCGGACACTCCGTTCTATTTATATTACGTAGGGGGGAGGGAGCAGAGTTTTCCCGCCAAAAACCATTAGCTTTCTAATCTTCCAGCCTAGGCACTGTGCAGGCGCAGCACCCATATGTGTGATGCACAAAGGGCACGACGAAGAACCTATGTTTTCTAATAAGAATAATTTAGTAATGTGAAGCAAATGTTTTCCACTAATACTAACTCATAGACTTTCAACCAATTTGGATTTCTCTAAGTTAGAAATGAGGGAACTAGTGTTTTGGTTCACTTTAGAAAATATTTTAGATAAACTGAAGGAAAATAAAGCTTTTCTTTTCCACACAGTAACTCATGGGTGGGGACCTATAACCCTCCAGATGTTGTTGGATTCCAGGTCCTATAATCACTAGCCTGCATGACCAATGAATAGGGGATTCTGGGAACTTCCATCCAGCACCGAACACATTTTTTCATCAGCTCCGAAAATGTCTTGGGTGCTCTATACCCATGCTTCATGTGCCCCAGAAACCTTGACAGAGAATTCCACCTGCTTCAGTGTTTTGAAGTGGGCAGCTGCTAAGAAGAGGGCCTTTTCATTCGTGTTACCCTACTATGCAATGTTCTCCTCAGAAAAGCTTGGCCAGCACCTATGTAACCAGTGAAGTCCTTTTTGATTCTCCCAGGTGTTTTAGTGCTTCATTTAAAAAACTGTTAGTATTTTGTAGATGTATGCATAACTGTTACCCTGTGCTACTTTTCAGAGTGTGGAGTTTGGAGGTGCTCCTGGACCCAGAATTGCCCCTGGAACACCAAGTGGCATCTGTGGCCTGGAGCTCCTTTTACCAACTGCCGCTGATATATCAGCTGCGCCCCTCTCTGGATGAGCATCTAGTGATGGTGATTCAGGCACTGGTAACCTCACTGTTAGATTACTGCAGTGTGCTGTACATGCGGCTGCCCTTGAAAACGGTCTGGAAACTTCAGCTGGTACAGAACAGGGCCACCCATGTGCTGATTGGGATGGACCAATGTGAGCTCCTAAGCCCTGTTCTTTGTCAACTGCTTTGGCTGCCAATTGTGTTGGACTACAACTCCCAGCATTCCAAACTGGCATGGCCTTGATATGCTTGGAGTTGCAGCATAACTGGGAGGCACTGCATCAGGGAAGTCTGCTTTACATTGTTAACTGCTCAGAGTTTTAACTATGGAGTGGTAGAAAAATGAATTAAAATGCATGCAAACATACATACATACATACATACATACCATGAATTATTTCTGCTCATGCTCTCCCAACAATGGACAATCCCATGCACATCTCTTGAACAGGCAACCCTCTGATTAATCAGAGGGTTGCAAGGGGCAGCCTGGTGCTGGCAAACTGACACAGATATTCAGCAGGTCAAAAAGCAACCTTGCTCCTTCTTGCAGGGAGGTTAGGAAAACTGATTAAGTCAATGCCTGCAGGCTTGTTTTCAACAAACAGACAGCAGTAAAAACCATCAAGTTTTTGGTTTCATCCATGTTTTAGGAAAATGCTCCAACCAGTTCAAGAGTTTCTTTCATAGCATATTCCAAATACAGCTACAACACCCTAAAGGCTAAACCAAGGCTGAACCAGGAGCTCATTTGATCCACCTGTGCACTTCAGAAAGTGTACAACAAAAACCAGCAGCAGTTCTAGAAGATTCAATAGCCCACCCCCACCCTGATCTAAAAATGCTGTATACAACAGATAACCCTTCTAGCATGTCCTGGAGGTCAACAGGATCTGGCAGTGGGCTCTGTTACTCCCTTGGAGGTTAAGCTTAACACCGGCAGCCATTGTTTGCTTAGCTTTTGATTTCACTGAGGTGGCTCTGCTTCACGCATTCTGAATCCCAGAGAGACTTCTTTTTGTTGTTGTAGGGGCATCTGTAAAAGTCATTGCTCTGCCTTTCCACAAAGCTGGAAAATAACTGTGAATGCTACTCTTCATGTACACCCTATTTAGGTATCCAAAACCAACAGAAGCTTATGGAGAAGTAGCAAGCTGCTACCACGTCTGCGCTGCAATGTATAAAAACTAAAAGCAAAACAGAAAAATTTCCTCCTGGGAGGGAGATGGCACATACAGCTTTCATTACCTCAGCACAAATGCCCTGCTGGGGGGATGCTGCTCAGCCTGTGATCAGGCAAAATGCCACCCCAACACATGGGAATGGATTTCAATAGCCAACAGACCATCTCTAAGCATCAAGTGTGATAACTATGGGCAGGATTCCCAGCCCTGAAGAGTCCAAACAGCTGTCTCTTCAGAGCATACAATTCTGTAGCCAACAGAATCTGAGATTCTTCTTTAGTTTTCTGAAAGAGGTTAGGGGCTCAGTGATCTTAGTGCCTGACATCCTGTGCTGGCAGACTAGGTAAGACCAGACACAGAAATACATTCTAGGCATGAGAGGACACAGAAAGTGAACCGAGATGTAATTTTACCAATGCACACGCAGAGATTACCCCAGCAGGGTGTAAGCAGTAAGGGAAGAGGCTTGGCTGGGGTTAGAAGGAGCCAGCTTCTGCAAGCCCCAGTTGAGTCAAGCTGCTGCATCTTAGTGGGGGGCACAAAAAGTTTGGGAAGAGACATAGATGAGGCCTTGCAGAAGCTAGCTCCCCCAAGACCCTGCTCAGTGGTGCAGGGGAATCCTAACCTTGACTCAGATCTTTGATGGAAGGTAGATTCCCCTTTATGCTGTTCACACTTTGCTTTGGGAGGACAGAGGATGAGACCTGTATAGCTGCCCAATCCTTCACAGGCCAGCTCTGGCCCCAGCATGTGTTGGAGTTTCCCTTCCCCAGCTAATGATCAGTATGTTGCATAACAAGCACACATTTTTTGAAGGAAACAACACCATCTGCACACAAGTTGCTCGAACTACCATGATACTGAACACAACACAGGATTGATACCATCAGTGCTGTTTTAAACTTTCCTGGGATACTAAGCTTTCCAGTGAGTAATAGAAGTTATAAGGACAGGCATTGTTACAGTTGCAGTCCCTTTACCTCTGTGAAGGACGATATGGTCAATCATGTTCCGTTTATATTTGGTGTGGTACAGACAGAGCGGACAGCGGAGGTCTTTGGGTCCTTCCTCAGGAACTGCTGAATGCCCAGCTTCCACATGCATAGTAAAAGCAGATCTACAAAAACATGGAGCAATGAATAGGCTCAGAACAAAGGGCAGCACAATGAAAATCTTTGGATAATATTAGGGTTTTTTTATCAGAAGCTACAGATACCACTCTTTTGTGTTCTTTAAAACAAGGGTTATCAAGTTGTGTCATGATGAACCTCCCCAAGTCAAGGGCACGCCCAAGAGCCAGTGCAGATACAACATTTTGCAATCTGTGTTTAGAGGGTTAGGAGTGAGCCACGTGTGTTTCCTCTTCGTCCTTTCCTTCAAGCAAATCGCAATTTAATTGTAGTTAAATGTATATTGAAACCAGTGTTACCTTTGATTAAATCCAACAAGGACTTTTTTAACCAGGTAGTTGAAGCCACACTTAAGAGGTAAATCTTTGCACCAGCCCCAAGTATTGTAACCCCCACCCCCCACCCCCAACAACTGACAGGCTAATCCCATTTATTTTGGTCCCAGATACAAAACCTAGATAGGAAGGAAGTAGGGTGTAGGATACATGGCCCATGAGAAGCATTCCCCTCCCACATAGCAGGGAAGTGCTTTATTAGCTCATGATATCAATACATTGATACAACACTTAATGTTCTTATTAAAAGTGGATTAGACAAATTCACAGAGGATAAGTCTATCAAGAGGTATTGGACACAACAGCTAGATATTCCCTCCAGTATTAGAGGCATTACGTCTTTGTACAACATGACGGGCAGGGTGCACTTGCACTTTTGCCCTGCTAGTGGGCTTATGATAGGCATCTACTTGGTTGCTGAAAGGACAGAATGCTGAACAACACAGGCTTTGGTCTGATCCAGACGGACTCTCCTTAAGTACTTAAGTGGAGATGAATAAGACTTCCATGTTTCCCTGATTTGGTTATATACTCATCATGGTCCAGTCAAGGAATGCCTCTATCCTGGATTCTGGAGTAGAAGATCAGAAACACCTATATAGTAGAGTATAGGGATCACAGTGTTGGACTGGACTTGGGAGATGCAAGTTGGAGTCCCCACTCAGCCATGAAGCTTACTGGGTGACTTTGGGCCAGTCATGGGCTCAGCTTAACCTACCTCACAGGGTTGTTGTTGTGAGGATAAAATGAAGAGCAGGAGGACCATGTAAGTTTCCTTGATTTCCTTGCAAGAGCAGAAAAGGCAGGACAGAACTGTAATAAGTGAGCAAGAGGAGTTTGCCTATTAACTGTTCATGACGACAGCATCACAAGTTGAGAACTCTTGGCTTCAAAGCCACAGCCTACTTTAGTTACCCAAATGTTACATACATGCAAAATACTTACTGGATCATGTTCATAAGCATTATATGGTTAATTCCAAAGGACAAATGTATAACAAAATGATGGTAGTGGGGGGAGGGCCTGTTTTTTTCCTTGCACCTGCATACAAAGACAGTCCAGTGGCAGTGAGAGCTGCTTCCCGGGTTATGTCTAAATAACGCAGGTGCATTCACTTGTGTTTTTAGAATGTACCAAAATGGAATATGGGAGGAATAATTTACACATCTGTTTGCAAGAAAGAAGATGCAAGCAGATTTTTGTACATGTATACCTCTTGAATTTTCATACCTTTTCCCCCTATGCAGATGAACTCTGTAACTCCTCTCAAAGATATTCTGGCCAAACTACAGCAGCATAAAGTACACTTGTACATTGATCCTAGTATCCTCTGATAAAGCCATGGCTGTTTTAACACCCTTGAGTGTTTACTGGTACCCAGTCCAAAAATGTCCCAGCCAAAGTTGGGGTTTAAGACTGTCAATGGCAACTTGTCACAAGGGCTGCAGATTATTTCCAGAAGCAGAGACCATGTGGATTGCATGCCAGTTGCAGGGTGGGGATGTAAATGGAAGAGTGCTGTTGCACTCGTGACCTGCTTATGAGATTCCCATAAGTACCTGGCTGACCACAACATGAAGAGAATGCTCAATGGGGTATGCCATTGGTCTGATGCAGCATAGCTCTTCTTACATTCTTATAGCTTGAGATACAAGAATATGATGGGAGAAAGGAAGTCAGTTAAGTTGTGATGTCGTGTACTTCCTATTTCTCACACTTCTGTTCACACCTAAAACAAGATTTATACATCCCAAGCAAGACTATAATAGCATATTGTGTTAATTACTCACATTAAAACTTTTCTCTAACTTTATTCATGTGGCATCTAACTCCAAAATCTACTTAATAGAACCTGTACACTTTTGGTAGCAGGAAAGGTGAGTTCTGAGGAAGTGGGCAGGAAACCAGCATAAAGGATAAGGTGCACTGGCAAGGGCTGGGAACCTGCATGGGGTGCAGCATTCCCTACCTCACCTAATTCTTAATCAACCGGACTCAACAAGACTTACATCAGAGTAGTGATGTATAGGAATGTGCTGAAACCACGTATATTTCCCCCATATTTTAATTTTGCTACTAGGAGGCAAATAGATGCATTTATATACGAGAAAATCAATTTGATCCTTATTGTTTATTTTCATTACATGTTTAAACCATCAACGTCCATGAAAGTTACCTGAAGTTGTTACAAATGTGACAATGTTTAGCTTTTATATCCAAGTACTTACTTAAAGCCTGTGTAAAAGGAACAATCTTTGCACTTGAACAGCTTCTTCCCTCCATGTTTGTCACGATAATGACGCCGAATACTCTGAATATAACCCGAGGAGAATTCACAAAATTCACAGTTAAGGATGGTTTCAGATTTTTGGTCTGCTCCAGAGAGTGGGATAGGGCTAATGTTGTTATTGTTCCTTGCCAGAGCTGCGGACTGGTAGTGGTTCAATTGCTGTTGGACATCTGGAGGCTCTGAATAGGAAGAATCTGTTGCAGAAGAAAGAAAAGAGCTGGTAACACCAAACTATGGAAGAAAATGCAGGGTGGGGGACTCCATTGAGACAGGTCATTCAGAGTTTTGGAGCTGGGTATTATCACTATGGGGCCATACACAGAGTTATCTCTCCTCTTCATCAGACTGCATTGTGAAAACCTGGAACAGGTGTCTAGAGATGCAATAGATGACAGCTAAGAAACTGAAGCTCATCCCAAATAAAACAGAAGTTCTTGTGTGACTGTTGAGAGTTTATCAATTCCAGATAGCTGTATTCAGCCTATTTTTGATGGGATTGCACTCTCCCTTAAGGAATAAGTTCATATTTGAGACTAATGGAAGATTCTGCACGTGACCCCAAAAGGGGTGTGCAGCTCCCCCCCCCAGTTGCAGCTTTTAAAAAGATTTTCAAACTTTTTAAATCACCATTCAATTGTTATGTTTTTACTGTTGCAGCTTTTAGTCAGATCTAATGTTGGCTGCATGTAAAACCCTAACCCTAACCCTTAATGTACTGCTGATATTTTGGATGTTCAAATGTTAAAATTCTTCTATAAATCATTATATAATATTTTTATATTTCTATTTTATTCATTGCTTTGGGTGTTGAATAAAGGTGGCTTATGAGTATTGAAATACATTAAAAATAGGACACCATCATAGGTCGCAGTGCCTTGTACAGCGTGCCAGTTGTATCCCTTCCTGGGGCAGGATGACCAGGCCATATTTATGCATACTGTAGAAAAATCCAGGGTGAGCTACTGTAATGTGTTGAATCTGATATGAGTCAGAAATTGCTAACTAAGAGTGATTGCAATTAAGATATTATACTTGTATCAGAAGACCTTTACAAACTACAAATTTATTTCTGCATTGAATTCAAGGTCCCAGTCCTGGCCTTCAAAGCACTAAATGACTTGGAACCAGAGCTCCTGAAAAGCAGAACTTTTCTGTGGTGGTACATAATTATGCAAGATCCTCCATAGGCATGCTCAGCTGGCACCTTCTTCACAATCCTTATTTATTAGATAGAAGTCCATCCCAGTTTTGCAGATACTTATTTCCATTTGCTGGTTATATTAATACAGTATTTGTACACCATTTTCATCATTTTCCTGGTAATGATTTAGTTTAATGAAATATGGCCATATTTTTAAAAAATTAAACAGCTGCTTTATGAATTTTTAGTCACTATTGACATTTAACTTGCTGTTTTTCATCCTTTTTTTGCTTTTACCATGTTTTATGTCATTTTTATTGTTTAAAGTATTTATAGATTCTTTGTTATCCAAGATCTTGAAGCTCTGACAAACAAATAAAACAATATGGCAATCAATACACATCTACATTCTAAAAAAATCTTAAAATCCAAGGTTGTAAGAATAAGCGTCTAGTGATCAGGAACATTTTTTGATATTATGAATTTGATTTATATCTATCTTTCCACCAAAAATGGTGTTCAGGTAGGATAACAATAATAAACCAATATTAATGCAAACATTTAATTTAAAGCAATAATAAAAATAAATGCAAAGCAAAATTAAATACACAATAAAAGTAATTGTCAACACCCAACCAATTAAAAATTCCTTCCACACCACACCATAAACATGACAAGACTTTGTCTTGCAAGCTTTTCCTTTTGGGCTGCATAAGGTGACAGAAGTCCAATTCCAGCTCACACATGTACCATACATACCAGCATATAAAGCAACTTGTGCATACAACTAGCTTGTTTTTTTGGCTGTTTTTCTGGTGTTTGTTGTAAGTTGGGCATATAAAATGACCTCCAATTTTTGCTTTATTTTTGGTTTCAAAGGTCATCTTATATATGTTTGTCATTCATGGATTGCAACACCAAGGAACAACATGGGTAAACAAGCTTTATCAATGCAGACAGAACTTATGTGTCATGTCAACCCAAACACAAATAGTTAATGTATGTGACTGAAAGTGATTAAAGTGATGAGAGGCCAAGCAAATTACATGCAAGTGCCAAACAACCTCTGAAAGAGCACTAGTCTTGTCTCTTTTCAGAAAACAATGGCTGGTACAACCATAAATTCAGCTGTGACTATGGACACAACAACAGAACTTTTATTTGGTTATTGTTCTATGTTACTTAAAAGGACAGAGCTATAGACACTTTACTTGTGGAGCTATACAAAATCCAATATAGGATTAATATGGCAGTCCTATACATGTTTACTCAGAAATAGATCCTTTTGTGTTCAATAGGGATTATTCACAGGTATAGAATTACAGGTGTGCTCTTTCATTTACTATTGAAAAGGTGCAAAGTGAAAAAAGGATGAAAGCTACAAATTGTGCTAACGTCTAGGTTGCTTTCATAATTAAGTCATTATCATGCAATTATAATTTCTTAGATTAGATTCTGGAATATCATTCTGAAAACCTAGAATGAGGCATCTCATCTGGAAGAGCTAGTAAAAATATTCAAGTTGCAAAAACCTGTACAGTTGAAAGAAAAGCCAATTAATACAAAAATCTACCCTCATCAGAACAATCCACTGGATGTAAATAGAGACCTATCTGGTGACCTACTGGTTAGCACTAATGATCTGCAAGACCATAATGTTTAATGAACAAAATAGACAGGAACCGAACCCTGCATACAATGTAAAATAATAAAAAATATGAAGCAATGTCCAAGCGTTAAACATACATAAAAACAAAACAAGGCATTCTCTGATTCAGGCATACAGATACAGATGAAGATTTTAAATGGAAGATCTCAGATCTCACTAAAGCAAATGTCCAATCACAGAATTTTTTCCTCAAGTTTTTGTATGAGAAAAAATATCCACAAAGATGCGTAAGGAATGTCAGTACACATGCAGAGTTATTAGAGTGGGAAACAACAGATATGACTGGTGCGTGTATAAACGTATATGCCAGTGGAAAACCATCAAGCAAGTGGAAAACCATCAACATAGTCCCATTTTATTTTTTTACAAAACGAAGCAATTCTAAAATGATGGAACTGTTACAAAGATATGTGAAATGACCCTCCTATGTCCTTGTGTGGGATCAGCAATCACTATGGATAAGGTCAGGAAGTACAGGAAAAAAATAAATTTTCCATCCCTTGTTGGCCCACCAGTTAAGGCCATCCTGACTGCATGTGGAAGATGGGATCTAGGTCTGTGGGGGAAACTCCTTAGACTAACTGAACCACACAAGTCAGAAGACAAGTTTTCTCTGACCAAGGAATACCTTCTATCCCATCTTCTTCTCATGAAACCTGCATCAGACATCAAGTAGAATCATTTTTCTTTCTCAAATGGTTTGTGGCAGCCATATTCTATACTAGATAAGGGGTCTCCAGTCTACAATGTCTGTGTTCAGTTACTGGATTCAGAGCCAATGGCTCAAAGCAGTTTATACATCAGGTCTAGCCAATCAAGACATGGTCTTTCCTGCCCTTTTCAGGTCACTATTTGCCCACTTGCATCCCGTGTGCACCCAAAGAATGCCCAAGCATTGCCTTAGGTAGAACTATACCCCTGCCCTATGCTCTAATTCATGCTCCAGGATCCCTGACTGTCTTCCCTTAAGTGTTGACAGACAGGAGGATGCAATCTTATGGCAGAACTGCAGAAAAATCACTCTCTACCCCTTTCAAAGTTCTGCTATTGAACAATTAGGAAACAATAAAAATCATTGCAAAATTTCAAGTGCTGGCTTCAGACCTCTAGCAGACATGGCAGCCACCAACAGAAATTGTATGTATGCATTTTTAGTATGCAATTGTCATCTATGTGCATGGAGGTTTACAAAGAGAAGTGATGGCAGGTCCCTATACAATCTAAAATAGACATAGGGAGACCACAGAAAAAGAGAAGAAAGGAATGGGTGAGCAAGGGAGAAACAGTTTTTGGAAAAGACACGTAAAGAAACCTTTATTTCAATCATTCACAGCAAAATATTTCCAAATGATTCCAAGGTTGAAGTCTTCTGAACCTTTTAATCACTTCTCATTTGGTAAATGGATAATAATATATCCGGGAGGAACCAGCGCGCCGGACAGGCCCACCTCCATCCGCGCCGCCTGGAGCCCGCCGCCGCTCCACGGCCTGCTGCTGCCTGCTGCTGCCACTGCCCTGCTGCAGAGGCCAGGACCACCGGCCCAGGACCCTGCTCTGGCCTGCTTCTCCTGGTGCATGTGAGAGATGCGCCGGGAAGGGGTGGGGCACGGGGAGGGGCCCTGCGGGCCACAAAGCACCGGCAGAGGCCGGGGCCGGCAGCCGAAGGACGACGGCCTAAGGGCGGTCGCCATTTGGGGAACCGTTCGGGGGTCCGAGCGGGGGGCTGGGCTGGCCAGGGGCTCTGGCCGTGGTTTGGTTTTATTTATTTGTGGGCTAGTGGGGGTCTAGGTGGAGGACAGTAAGATGTTTTAATGGTTTTAATTGTTGGTTTTAGATTGTTTTTAATTGGTGCATCTTGTGCTTTATTGCCTGGGGAGCGCGGGGCTGCCACCATCGGGGTGGTGATGGGCAATGGGCGTTATGGCGTTGGGGGTCTAACAGGTCAGCATAGAAGAAGGAGGGACAGATGGTTAACACCTGTCCCTCTTTCTGGTTATTCCCCCAGCCGGCGGGTTCCAGGTAGACTTGTCAACTGCCCTCCGGGCCTGTTGGTGCTGCTGCTTAATGCCAGGTCGGTCCAAAATAAGGCAACACTCATCCTGATCAAATCGACCTGGGTTGACCTGGCATGCATCACAGAGACCTGGGCGGGTGAGGTGGGGATGTTTCCCTCTCACAATTGTGCCCGCCCGGGTACCTGGTCCAGCACCGACCACGCCTGGAGGGGAGGGGAGGGGAGGGGAGGGGGGGTCGCTCTGGTTTCTCAAGCTTCTATTTCCCTTGTGGGGCTCCCTGTCCTCTCGAGGCCGGGGCTGGAGTGCCTCCACTTGGTGTTGGGCGACTTGGGGGATTCTGTTGGTGTACCGTGCACCCTTCTGCCCAAC